TGTCACTTTGATGTTCCTCCTCCCCTCCGTGAAGCCCGAATTTAGCCAAAGGGCTAATGACAACTATCATAAAGCCTGCTATCTGATATAAGTATATATTGAGGGAGAACTAGGCAGGCTGTATATATTTACTCGAAAAGCAAAGATTACGGATCTACTTACACTTTTGAACCCTACCAAACATACCATAAAGATGATCGCACTTCGAGGTCGATGACACAACTAAAAGAGTCAAGTTATTTCAAGAATACAAAGAAGCCAATATAATTGCGCATACAAACTTAAAATACCGAGAGGATCGAAACATAGAACGCACTCCAAGAAACCGGGAAAAGACAGGAAATTTTAACACAGAAATTCTGTTCAATCAGAAATAATGAAGGTCGCTGTATACATAGTGGATGGATAGGATATTCAAAATCATTAAGTCTGCATAATAAAAGGAATGGAAGAGCCTGAGCTTCACACTAGAAGGGGACACCAGGAGATATAATCGCTCTAGGCAAGATGAGCGTAGAAAAAAATGCTTACAAAATGGGATTGGGATTTTAAATCGCGCATTCGAACTGAGAGATTTTTCTGAACTCCATTGATGTTAAACTCAAGAATATGCGGCCTTGAGAACTTGATGGTGGCCAAAAATGAATTGCCATCATTTTTTTTCATCTAAATATATACCATGTGGAAAAGTGGTTTAACTTATCAGTAAAAGTTCATCGCTAAAGCACAAAAGTGCAAACACACACAGGAATACAGGAGAAATTAACCCTAACCAACGAAATTAGCAATTTTCTAAAGTCCACAGGGAAAAATTTACGCAATTAACAAATCAATATAATTTTATTTATAGCCCATTACGTGTTTTTTCCAGACTGGAGTTCAATCAAAAACAACTATATCTCTCAAGCAAATACTAACTTCAAAATCCGCAATCGAAACCAAAATTATGACAAATAAAAGCTAAAAGAATAGACTCCAAATGATAGATTAAGGTTGCTGCAATTGGACCAAACTCTTGTTTCAGAAAGGTACTGGTACACGAAGCACCAATCACACGAGCAACTAAACAACCCGTTTCCATACAGTTTGTGAATAAAATGGCTCTGAACCGAGCAATCAAGTATAAAGTAAAGCTGACTTTAACAAACTCCACCATAGATAGGAGTTAAATATCTTGTTTCACGATATTTCGCACTAACCAGTGAATTATTCAATCGCGAAAAAAAAGTGATCAAATTGCTTACATTTATTAGCATCAGAAATCAATACCGAGCATCTATAAAGTAGACTTAGTCACAACATTTACTCCTAAATGTGCAAACACGCACTACTAACGTTCTGAATAAATGCTAAATTATAAATTATGGCCGTTAAAGGGGGTTGAATTGAAGACATCAAATATCAGTGCATTTATCTTATGATACGAGCTACGCAATAAACGGTATAGAAAAATTTGTGAAGCATAACCATTACCGATTTAATTAAGAAGAAGAAATTTCCTTTAAGCCTTATAAAAAGGAAACAGAACGAAGTAAAAAAGAATTGAGGGGGGGGGGTTGAATATAGTTAAAGCTTTATTAACCATGGGAGATACAACACAGAGAAACAAGAAATTAATAGGTACTGTTAGAAACGGAAACCAGTCTGTAACTCCGGATCTAAAGAGCCCAAATCTAGGGTCCGTCGCTCCAGATCTATGAGATGGATAAAGTAAAATGAGTCGATACTGGTCTCCAAACCTAATTCGACTAGGGACAACAGATCAAGATATTGATAGATATTTGATACCGAAGACAGTGGATTGATGACCTATCACAACGTCACGCACAAAATTACAGAAAGTGGGCTAGAAGATAAACAAGTGGTTGAAAATCTGACAGAAATCAGAAATTCGTAAAAGATAGGCCAGCAAAGTTTAACTCCCTTTCTATCAAACATAACCTCCAAAATATTAGGATGAAACTGATCCGGATGCAGCCTCGAATACGACCCATGTCACCTGTATGTTGATTGCGAAACCGCCGGCTAATTTATTGCTTCATATGCAAATCCATCGCAAAGAAGCACATGTTTGATTCAAATCAATAAACCCTGACTAGAGCAAAATTTGAGTAGATTCAAGATTAGTCCCGCGAAAATGAGCAAGGATTTGATTTCTTTACTCATGACTCATCAGGAAAGAGCTATCAACCCACACGTCTCCTGATTTCAAAGGAGAGAGAAGTAGTGTGGGTAGAGCACAAGTCAAGTAGAGCAAAACTCCCACAAATGAAAACAATTTTGCCTGGGAGCTTCTTACAATCGAAATGAAGTCAGGTCTAACATACTTATCTACCGTGTTCAGCGGATTATTATTCCGCGTAAATAATGTACAAATAAATCTACATTTGGTAGACAAGCAAACAACTGACAATTGATGACTATTTCGGTTCTAGGAGCATTCAAAATAGACAGGTACTCTCAGCTTTCCAGCACTATCAAAAAAATTTTAACTGTTACAAACCTGATAGCAGATTAGACACTTGTATTAAGGTGGCAGCAAAGTCAAACAATCCAAATTGAAAATAAAGTTGAAAGTGGTAAAAAAGGTAAGAGCGGAGATAGTAAAAAGAAACCTAGTGCCTCGAACATTGATGGAGGGAGGGGGTGGAATGGAATTTCAAGCATTTGAACAAACAAAACCAGTCACATCCAATACCTGCACGTACTGTTAGGTCGGAGAGGGCTTTCCTTACCCCGCGATCCCTCTCCTTAGACGAAGGGGAGACAACGTCTGCCATAATCTAACCCACAGCACTAATGCCAAAGCCCGAGTAAGGTCAATTTGAATTAGACACTCCTATGAATGCCAATATTACCCACTTAATCAACCAAACCAATAACCTGTTATATCAAATTCAACATCATCCTGCATGATTAAGTGAACACTATTCAAATAGATGAAAACAATTTTCCATTGAATAGTGTGATAACTATTCACTCACAATTGGGCAGATACAAGTCAGCGCGCAGTTTAGATGGAATATTGAACACACTTTTAGCAATTCCAAAATTTCGCAGATATACAATCTTTCATTGGGTAGATGAGCAACCATAACCAGGAAATTTTTCCTAGCAGGGAGCTATTTCCCCCAGGGGTTGGAAAGCGAGGCTTTTCAGTGTAGATAGGAAAAGATGGTGGCAAAAGAAAAGTTTATTTGCTATTTCAAAACAAAGTAATAGAGAATATGATTTCGTAAAAAGGAAAAAAAGAATCAAGCAGCCAAAACCGCAAAGTAACCAGTTGGGTCATGCCTACCAGGCGGGAGCGGCCATGACCTCAAAGAGGCAGAGAATCGAAGTGAAAGACACGCGCAAAAATGTCAACAGCAAGGTTAATCAAAATGTCGTCAGGAGATGGAGTATAAGTACTAGTAATAAGATTAATAAAAAAAAGGATATTGCATGTTGATTCTACCCTTAAATGACATCAGTTATGCACTGTCAATAAACCCAATGGAGTTGGAAAGCGAGGAAGTTGGCTTGCTCTCTAGTGAACGAGTAAAACGCTAATCATACTAACAGCATTATATATAGAAAGCCAAATGTACCCCTCTATCCAATTCTTCTTTTATAATACTATCCCATTCCAAATTCAAGATTACTTTCATAATCAAATTAATTAAAGCTCGCTAATGAAATAAGTGAAGATAAAAATCACATACTTAGTACAATTTGGTTCAAAATAGACCAAATCAGGTAGGTTTTTACGACTAATCACAGGAGGATACACCACCAGGAGACGTCTTTTAACTCAAGGACTGAAACCTTTAACTTGCATTCTCTTCTTCTGAAAATTAGCCAACCACACCTTCTACACTCCGATCGTTAATTTGAGTTAATATTTGCAATTTTATGGTATTCTATTTGTGCTTTCATGTTCGATCAAATTCCCCCCCCCCCGGACACACTATTTTCCCCCATCTGTAGGCTGCAACCATGCAGAATTAGAGCTAGCACAGCGCCGAACGTTTCTCATCCAATAAAGGCACATCTCCGTCGCCCCGCCATTCTCTCGTCTTAAATGAGGCCGGGATTGTATTAATGAGATTTAATCACCAAAACAACTCTTCGCATAACCTGTAACACTTGATATTTTTAAACAAGAAAAAACAGAAGTAGCCATCTATGTATGACCGTGCTTGGTAAAGTTACACAGCAGTATTAGCCTGTTAAAAATGTTGCAGACTTAGAAATCAATATCACTGAAAAGTAGGCTTAAATAAAAGGAAAGGCTTCTATTATAAAATTAGTATGCCAGTTTACGAGTACTTCACGTGAATATTTTAACTAAGCTAATTGCAAAAATCGGCATACAAGGTGAAATCACGTGAAAATGCATACCTTCTTGAAATGGCTCTCAAAATCCTCCAGTTTTTGTAAATTCCTTAGACCACGGGCATACCTATTCCAAAATTTCCTCAATTTTGACCGTGTCTCTGACAGCTGGATAATATATTGTTCCACAACAAGGATTTGGGAGGAACGATCTTTGGGCAAATCCAGGGAACTTATTTCCTCGTTAGCGATTCGCTTTTTAGCTTCAACGACTTCCTCCTCTGAACTGCTAGATTCACGTAGCTCCCGAAGACGTTTACGTAGATCCACTCCACGGGATTCACAAGATGACAGTCTCCGTTGAAGCTGACGTCTCCTTCGTTGAAGGCTTTCCACGCGATCTCGAACCAACTCAAAGGTGGTGAAGTCCTGTGGGAGTCGCGCTAGCGCCTCCACTTTAGATATATCCACCACAAAGCTCTGAATTTCCAGCCCTAGATCACATGCGCATCGCTGGAAGCTTTCAATCTCCTGAAGAAAAAGAGAGGAAGTGGTTACAGTTGAAAGAAGTAGACCATAAGTCTGGGAATTCTCATGTTGACGTCCTCCATGACGTCGTCTAGCTGGTGTTGTTCGCATCGTCGCCATGCAGATAAGAGAATTGTCAATATAGGCACATATACACACCGCACTATGCTGATGCAAGGCACGAGAGGTTATGACGCCTATGACTATGTGCACGCGCGCCTAAGAAGCCAGCTACGCACACATCGATCATACACGCGGCAACCTATTGGTGCACGAACTAGACGACGTGCAAATGAACGTGCCGCTCGCACAGGGTGCCACGCACGCACCAATGCAAATACAAAATGCGTCGTTGTGTTACATAAGATGAACTCTGGCTAATTTCACATAATCTCTCTTGAGTAGCTTAAAAAACACATTACGATAGCAACTGCATCAACCAAGCTAATTACCATTTGACTTCCTCAGCAATTGGTTGAATCACGAGTTAATTAAGTGAATCACTGTAACGATATTGAGTTTAAAGTATCAAATCATTTGAACACAGCTCTTTTATTCTGATTGGTTAATTGAAAATTAAGACTCTTAAGAAAGATGAAACGATTGGATGAACATTCCAATGGATGAACCAGTACTTTGATACTGGTCACTAAATTTAAAGGTAATGATATAACCTTGAAATCGGTCACTTTAATTCAAGTACTATGGAACTACAAAACTAGCTAAACCCAGTAAGAAATAATTTTGTAATAAGTTTATTGGTGCTTACAGCTAAACCAAAGCAAAACTAGCATTCGAATGAGTGCCAAAATTGGCAACGTATTTTGTTTACCCTTGAAAAATGCCATATGGTGATCATCTGATTCCGAGAATGTCAGAAAAGGCCAATGCTTCCATTATACAGGGAGTTCGAGATAAATTATAGAGAAGAATATTAAGTTGGTTTTAGAGATTTTTTATAGATGTTTACACACACCACGCACATCTACTATTGACTATTGGCCTCTTACCAACGGATTTTCATAAGAATCTGTTTCGGAACCCTGACACTTCAATTCAAGTCTTGTCGCCAAGAATTAATTAAGTTTTCAATTAAAAAATCGGTGATCAAGGTGAAATATACTCTGCTGACGAACAAGGAATCTGTTTTGTTCTAAATGATAACAACTTCGTCAAGATAAAAGTAAAAAAAGAGATGGGTTTAGCTTTCATGCAGACCAAAGGACACCCCTCTAGTCATGGCGACTAAATTCCCCAAACTTTCGTGGTTTTGGATGTGTTCTCCACCCTCCAAGTTCTTATAAAATAAGTTTGGGCTGAATTCAGACGCCAATGTGGAATTGCTGGCCACCGTTGTAGTTAAACATCGGATGAAGAGGATAGTCAATAGTAGACCGTATGTATAGTAGCAGCAAGGTTCGACCAATGCTTTACCTCATGTAGAAGTTAAAAGTGGTTATCAGCCAGTTATTAAGGCTACACCAGCTCCAGTGCGTATGACTGGCCCCCAACCTTCCCAGATCTGAACCTGATAAACCATGATATATCTGTCGACCGGAGTCGAGAAGAACACTACTTTCCATGCAAACACTACAAAAGCCAACCAACTAGTAGAAAGAATTAAAGCAGCTTTTGAGACATTTTTTATGGAAAGTGTAAAATCAGCTTACTCAAATTCCGGTGCGACGTTGAAGAAGCACTAGAAGCAAAATTCGGACAGAGGTGTTATTTTCCTGTCTACTGATATACTCTTTAATCTACCAAATTTAACATTAACCAAGCAATTCCATTTTACCACTGAAGGCCTCATCAAAGTTGACCTTAATATCCTGTAAATATTAAGTATGAACGCCCTTATTCTTAGCGTTACTACCAGGATGCTCGTTGGCATTCATAGTGCTGACAACTTTCGAAGTTATTCGACAAAACACGTGATTGCCTGACATACGAGCCTTAGTGGACACATGCTTAAGTAATATAATATTTGCGACAATTAAATTTTACAGGTCATCATGGCTATATACAGCTAAATATCCACATTAGACCCCATCTTCGTTCTATGCCAAGAACGATACTCCCTCCACGGAGGTGTACAATTAGCTGAATGCACGAAATTCATAACTCGGACAGGTTTCTTATAAATCGACTTCCCATTGGCTGTCTAAGTGAATAAATTCATGCTTAATGCCTAATAAGTTCAGAGCATGAATTTCCTCAGACCAAAAAAAGTCATGAAATTTGAAGAAAGGAAGATAAACTCTTCCTTTTTTAAGTAAGACATCAAAGAATGTGGATACGGGAATTGAATGAGAAGGAAAATCAATGTGCTAGTTTTAGACTCAATTACTACTGGGTCCTCTTCGCCAAGGTTTTTTATCGAACTATTTAATGCCAAACAGATTCAGATACTTTCAAACCGTTAAAATATTAAACTCTGTCTTGTTTAAAGTTGTATAGAAATGGGACGTCATGGTTTCAGCCTTGGCCCTACCTTCTAGCTCCACCGAGTCACCAAGAATAAAAGAGAGCCTGTGGGAATACAGAAAGACAAATAAATTCCGCATTATTGCTTAAAGGGAGCTGATACAGAATATCAGCTCGAAAAACAACATACTGAACATCGAAAAGTTCACAAAAAGTGCTGAAATTGCTCAAACCACGAACTTCGATACACAACTCAGCACGTCTCCATTAGCTGGGGGTCACACTATATAACTGGGGCATTTAACAAATCTTCCAAGATTACTGAGATTATTATTGATAAAAGTTATAAATTGAAATTCGCCAATTTTATTGATGAAGAGAATGAAAAGGTCTCCTGGAGGTAAAGTATTTAATTGACTTGTCTAAGACAAAGGGGGTTTTAATCCTTTAACGCCATGCAGAAAGCACGGTCCTCTTTCAAAATAAGCTCCATTGGTACTAGACTCGTAACAGAAGGCGATGTTACCGTTTAAAGTATGTTCAATACCTGGGACCACCAGTCTGCCATAAGACACACGTGAGCGCGGTTGGATGTAATTCTCAAAATAAATTATTCAGACTTTAAAGGGTTAAGGACCGATGTCCAAGTCAGCCTACAAGACGAAATTTCACAATTATGCAGAAAGGACATAATTATACATATGGCTAAGACGCACACTAATGAATAGACGTTGGGTTCTACGCAGTTAGGCAGAAAGAGAAGTAGTAAATAAATGCTAGTAGCCTGGTCTGAGAAGCGAAAAGCGTAATAATACACATAGGAGGAGATCGGGAGGAGCAAATAGAGCTGCAACTTCACCAAGCAAGAAGCAACCGGAAGAGCGGATACATTAGCATTAAATAAGCCACCAAAAGCAGAAACATTACCATTGAAGGGAACACATCGGAGGCAGGTATTACTATTAATGATAATTGAATAAAGAGAAGTAATTAGTATGTGAATTAATGTAAAATAAACGGAAAGGTAGTAATAGCATGAGAATTTACTGGCTATCTCTAGAGAGAGAGAGGGAGAGAAACAACACCCTTGCGGATAATGAAATTCATTTCAAAACCTAGAAGACAATGCTATTAAGATGGTGTCGAAATACAGAGAAGTTTGACACGAAAAACGATGAGAAGATTTGATTTACTCTCACAATGCCCATTTACTAGCAGCTCCTAATTAGATTAACCTCACATTATGGCACACAGTTCACTGCGAAATAACCCCATTTAACAAAAAATCGATCACGAAAAAAAGTCAATTTACTTCCTAAACTCGCTTGTCTCACCAAAAAAAGCGTAATTTAAAATTAAAAAAGGTCATCGTGTTGATCAGGAAATAAAATATGCACAACAGTGGCCTAGCTGTCTCAATATATGGCCGCAAAATTTAATTTAAGTAAAATGCAGAAAAAAATATTAGTGAAAAGTAGGAAAAAGAGGCAAGTGTTTTATCAGGGAAACAGCGGAGTAACTACTCCAGTTGAGATGAGTATTAGGCAAACGCTTACTTCCAGAGATTTTTAATTATAACATGGTTCTGGTTTTTATGGATTGGATAGAAATAGCAAGACTTGGAGACGCAAACTTTCTGTTCAGTCACACTTTATATCCGCATCTTTGAGAATGACACAATTGATGATCAAATTTAATGTAATAAAAATGCAGAAAGATTACATTTTATGGAAGCTTCCAGGAAATACAGATCAGTACATCGGAGATTGCTAAATTAAACCCAAACACAAATGCAATAAATTATAAATGAATAGAAATGCCCAGATAGCTTAACAAGTAGCATCAATAAGTACAGGCGTAGCTTCAATCTCCCTAAAAGGCGCTTATTTAATGGCGTGAATGTCTTGGTAATGAGAAAGCTATTCCAATAGGAATTGCAAAAATATTTGGCCTAGTGGTTTCCTTCAATACCATCACATTGAAGAACGAATTTTAGCTCAAGTGTTAAAGACGCTAAAGGAGTAGCTTGGGAATTCGTGAAAGCAAGTTCAAACAACAATACAACGTTGAAATCACCTCTATGAAATTAAAGGTGACCCATCTCAAAAGCCACCCGTTATTAGATGTTAAAAATTGAAACCAATAGGAAGAACTATCTATACTCCAAAAGTATCCTTAGAGTAAGAGATTAAGTTCCCTATAACAAATTTCCTGAAATGAAAATAAACCTCCGGTCCACATCTTTCTCCATTATTAATAAAAAAATTAAGTGAAAGATCCTTTGAACACCTGAGCAGAGTTCACTGACTTCATTTTTTAATCATATTTAAACCCACAGCTGCCGAAATTATTTAGTTACCAGACAGTCAACCATTTCCATACTCCAAAACTCTCTATAAGCAAAGTAATAGAAATACGACGATTTCTTAGGACAGAGGCAAAATGGGATAACGATCAGATTTCACTACGAAAAGTGCTTTAGAGATCCTCTACATACAGCTTTTTTAAATTAAGTCGTCTGCATTGACATGAAATTAAAAAAACAGCGTGCTATACGAAACTGGTAAAACAATGCGTCA